TTGTGGCCCACAGGGCCACAACTGACACATTGAGCACAAGTACAAGATTACTGGTGGTCCTTCACCAGTTAACCAACTTCAATCATAATTTTTTTTTCAAGTTCTCTGCATAATTTGTAACATGATACACAGTTGCATGAGGGCACCCCTCTTCCACATATTAATTTCTGCAGTACATCAAAGTTTTCAAAACTAAAATGTGTCCAATGCCCAGGTGTGGCTGGGCACCCCCAGCTTGTTAAAGTAGAAAATTATTTATTTTCCATTCACCCACACGCAAAGGGAAAAAGACAATTTTCTGAATTTTCTAGACTCCTCCAGAGATTACGCGATGCACGATACGGTAAAAATGACTCACCCGAGTGAATATGCGAGAGGAAGAAATGACGACAAGATTCGTGCGAGACATCGCAAAGAAACTGATCGATGCGAACACCAGGAATGTCAGGCAGCGGCCCGGCAAAAGTGCTCATCACGGAACGCCCTCGAAAGTCTGCAATAACATCAACGATATATTCACATCATGAGCTGAAATAATGCAGAAGCCAGAGACAAACACGTACACGTATTTCAGCAGGAGATAAATGATCACGTACCTTAATTCCGACTAATAAGAGGGATTCTTGACTTGCCACGTCGTCCAGTTTGGAGTTTATGCCCTCCGCTTCATTAATAGCCCGGAGGTTTCATGAATGCCTTCGAGAAATATTCAACTGCTTTCTTCAAGCAGAGGTTCTCTGTTGTCAAAAATTAAAAATGAACTGTGAGACGAGGAGCACACTTTCTCACGAGAAAACATGACAGCGAATCTTAAAACATCCCTGAAAAATTCACAGTGTAAAAAAATGTATCGAATGAAAAATGTCGTAAATTCAATGATCGTACTCTTCAACATCAGTAATTAAGCAAAAGACCACGAATTATGCATCCTCTACAAGACTGGATTGATGGTAGAACATTGATTCCATCAAAGTTTTGACATAATGAGATTCCTTAGCATGTCCAAACCTTGAAATTTTCGTCAATTAAGAACTTGTGAGTAGTGTAAAGAATATTTAATTGTACCAATAAAATAAATACAATATTGTAGTTCATTTCCTCCAAAAATGGCAACATTTCTTTGCACAATAGTTTAAAACAGTGTCGAACCATGGTAGAATGTATCAGGATTTGCGTTTAACATCTTTGAAACGTCTTCGAAGAATTTGAGGGAAGCGGTAAGAAAAAAATTGTCAACTCCAGGAAACCTTCATTTTACTCCAAAAAATTGTATTTACCCAATTTACACGGAGCGGATATTCAGAAAAGTAATTGTAATAGATAAAATCTGCGCATTCCTGGTTTTTTTGCAGGCTGATGAGACAAATTTTCGCGAGCATCTCAGCGTCATTCGCATTTTTATCTTGCACAGAAACTTCTGACGTTCCACTTGTGCCTCTTTTCTGCAAGCCAAAATCTACTGAAAGTTCCATCCGGTTAACAAGAAATTTGACCAAATATTGACGTCAACTGCCTCCCGCAATTCTTATAAAACGTTTCACAGATGTTCATCACAAATCGTGATACATTCCACCATGTTTTGACTCAAATTTCAACAATCTCACGAAGAAACGCTGCCTCTTCGGATCGAACTAATGGGAAAATTTTGCTTTCTGCAGGCATGGGCTCTTCAATTTTGAAAAATGCCATATTGTGATCACTTACCAATACTGTATAAGGATCCGCCCTGAGGGCACATATCTCACACCCAAACGCGTGATCTGAGCATTCACATATGACGCGATCTCGCCTATTTCACATCCCCTCTCACCCTTACGAAAATATGTTCTGCTCATTAACTCATTCATCAAAATCACAACGTTTCTTTTTGTTTAAAATAAACAGAATCGCCGAATAAATTTTGGACATCTCATCACATTGCGCCACACGTGCGAACACAGAGTTGTGAAACTTTGAGAGCAAGGTTCATCACTTCCAAGGAATGTCAAGAGAAACATTCATGGCTACACAACATAATATACAATTCGTTATGAATTATGAAAATCGAAAACTAGCGCCGCGTTTTACACTGAGAAGATAATCAAACGCAAAAAAATCACTGAAATTTCAAATGGTTTCTGTAAGTTTTTTTCACACACGGGTATCTTCAGAAACCCAAAAATTCAAGGAGTATCAAAAATCCCTCGAGGGATTCAAGATAAACACAACCGATTTTCCAGGACTCCGCGAATTTTTATCCCTTCCAAAATCTCCATCAGACAAGAGATGGAAAGGGGAAAAAGAAGATAATAAAATTCAAGCAACATGAAACTTGCACCAAAACTGACAAAAATATAAGCATCAAACTGGCTCGCAAATCCTTCGGGTTGTGCGGGAGGTGAATTTTTCAAACATTAAATTATGTTTTCAATGTTCTTTTCGTCTGTCCAAGACATTCGTGCGTCGAATTAAAATCATCGTCGCTAAGCTGCTATTTCACGAGTTTTATGCCATTCCAAGCAATACATTACAAATGAACATCTTCCTAATTTTTCATTAGAAGCAAAAAAAAAGCTCTGAAATGGACATCACTTTTACATCAAGAGCCCAACGGAAAACTAAGCAATTGAGTGATTTCAAAAGCCTTTCGTATTTTGCTGAGGCGATAAGTCTTCCAACACGCGTGACATCGGATCTCGTGATCAGATCCACAAACAAAAAAAAGCGAAAGTTTGCCGATTTCTTCAAGGCACAGGGTGGTTCGTTTGTATCAGTACCTACAAGCCACCATCGGAACGAATAAGGGACGAGTTCAATCACATTTCTTCGAGATCGGCCAAATCTTCATCCAGTTCAACAGGGATATCGCCAACTTCTACGTCCAATGGACTAACGAACCCACCGTAATTCATTTGGCAGGTGAAATACCTCTTGTCTTTCACACTACGGACAGATGAAAAAAGTTGTTCATGCATGAATTACCACCGTCACGCGAATTCAAGACGCATTTCAATTTTCGATTTCCTCAAGACGATTCATTCTGCTTGCAAATTTCCTAAGCTCTGCTTCTTGCTCCGAAACGCAGTCGAAACTCAATGTCACAAAGCAGATTGAAATTTTCTCCAATTTTCCATTGAAAATATTGCAAATACGGTGCTTGAACCGTACATTCAAGTAAGTTACTGAGAATTTACGGATGGAAACACTCGCATTTCTCTACTACTGGAATGAACCTCGTACGGTACATAATGACGACCTTTCTAATAGATAATTTTAGATAAAAGAAGGGTGTGCTATTGTTTTTTGCAGCTTTTCAATCAGAGTTATTACTTCTCTTCCCTTAATTCAGATTATGCTTCAAACTTATCCTAGGAGGATGAAATATTATCAATGAGTCAATTAGATGCGAAATATTTTAAATGGGCACACATTTTCAGATCAATTAATACGAAATAGTTTTCGTTTCTCACATTATGTTCTTCGTGCCTTGATGTCTTGGAAAATGGTGTAAAATGTAGTTGAATTTGATAACTCGAATCCCCCGACTCAAATACTGTACTCAACTGTGTCAAACTTTTTTTCAAGCCCCTCGTCTGAATTCCCTTAGAAACAATGCATTCAAGGCCTCTCCAACTCCAAGGCTTTCCTCTTAAAACCTCCTTGACTCGAATTTTCTGCAGGCATTTCGGCTCCGATTTTAAAGACACAGGAAAACGGAAAGCAATATGAATGTAACATGATGCGATTGAAAGGAAGTGCAAGACCAGTTTTCAGATGAACTCCAAGTCTAGCATCCTGTCAACGAATTCAAGAAACAATTGAAGGCCCTGAATATGACTAATGATTTTCTGCAATTCTTCCTTGTCCCCTACAAAAATGCTTGTTTTCCGAAATCGAAATATCTCCAAGTTGAATTTGTTTGCGGTCCCTTGAAGTTTGACTCAAACAATGTTAACTGTCATCCATCGTTTCCACGATTCATTATTAACTTGTTCGAGAAAAAAAATAAAATGTTCGTTGGCACACAGAGTGAACATCAATGAAAAAATTATTGAATTTCCATCTGATTACCTGCCATCGTTTTTACCCATTGGTTCATCGTATTTCACGCCGATCCATGTACCTGGCTTGAAGTGCACTTCGCCTGGAAATAAATACAGCAACACAGTGCTGCGAATTCGGAAAGAAATTCGAGAAATAACTGCCAACTCACCAATATACATAATTTCTCCACGACGAATCGGTTGTTTTACGACAGAAACTTGACAACGATCGCCAACTTGCATCTTGCTCGCTTTCTCAGCAGCCAAAGCTTGATCTTTTTCTAGCTTTTCCTTGTACTCCTCGCTGAACTTCCCCAGCTTGTTTTTAGTCAGAAAATCTCGCACTGTCCCTTCTTTTTGGGCATATTCCTCTCGAGACAAGCTGAAGCCTCCAACTTCATTACGATCGTCGAAGAAGTTCTCCGATGCCTCATCTACTACGTGGATTTTCATGCCTGACACGACTCCGTGATCCAGCAACGTCTTTAAGGGGTCCGTCAAATTGGCTACAAAATTCCCGGCATCATTCGACAACGTGAGTTTCATGGTTTGCGCATTGGCACCTGTGAGCAATTCCAGTTTGTTCTGCGAAAACATCCACGAAAAGAAACATTTCAAGGATGTGTTCCAACCCCAAAACGCGGATCACGCTCGAAAAAACAACGAAATTTAGCGATACTTTTCATTTCAAAGAATTCCATGATCTCGATCACGGTTAATAATGCACGTACAGATTCCCTGTGAAACAAAGCACAATGAAACAAGACCATAATCTCAAAATTAATCTACTCCGATAAGGAAATGGGAGTTAGCAATAATTAACAAGAAACAAATGCTCTTTCATCTCTTCGCTAATTTTGGAATCCTTAAAAAGAACATATATCCACTGGATGAGTACGAAAATTTCAAATTAAACTTCGAAGCGATCGTCACAGCTCACATTTCAGCCCAATTTTAAAGTCGCTCATTCGGTTACAACTGTATTTTAAGTTCTAACCCTGTAAAATTGCTCCACGCCCAGTAACAAGAACAGCCAAGTAACAAGCCAAGAAAATCGGAAAACCGATTCACGACCGTAGAATTTCAATAAATTGAACGATTATTTGATTTCATACCCGAGCTTTCGAACAGTAGGAAATTACCTTCAACTCGCCAATGGTAATTGTGACAGGAAAACGTCGTTCAGCATATGCCGAAGAGAGATTTGAGGTGACCGTGATGTCAACCAATGCAACGTGATCACCGGAATCCATCTCAAGCTCCAGAGGGCCTGACCGAGTTCACAAGAAAATCGCAGCACGTCCAACGAAATACCGATTTGCTATGAATTTCAGAATCTGTATCGACACAGGCAACAGTTCGGAACGTTGAAATCTGAATTTTACAATAAATCACTAGAGACAAGGAATGAGAATACAGTTCTTGGAAACACGCTTCCTTTTTTTTCTTCCGTCAACATCCGAAGAGTAAAAACAAGTCATAACGAAACATATTTTCACAAGAGAAGGCACGGGAGCTCGAGATTCCTCTTTACATTCGGAAAAATCACGAAACTGCTACGGTCATACACAAAACTCACACTTTAGTTTCTTCAGAGCTCTGCAAAATTTGTTCAACAATGGGATCACTTCTTGCGCGATTATTGTAGCTCTCTTCATGACGAAACTGAATGGGTTGTGTCCTTGGTATTGGCACGGAGATCGTTTGCAGCTGCTTCAAACGGGCTTCATTCTGTCGCGCAAGCATCACGGATCGGCGACGACTCATTTCGTCCAACAAAGCAGCTCTGAAATAAAAAGGTGGTCTATATTTCGAACCATCAGATCGGAACCATTCACACTGACCAGAGTGGTCAATATTTTGGTACGATCTAACAGGTAGTGTGGTAGAAATGAGATCATGATCGGATACGAAATACCTTCAATTCATGGAAAGGTACTCACGTTAACAAACGTGGGACGCGGGATTTCGTAATACAATAGCACTCAGCCAAAATATAAAAAAAGCATTCCCAAAGATATATTTACGCGTACCGGTACATGGCGTAGTTTCGGATAACTGCATCCATCTCTTCCATCATTATTCGTTGCATCATCGCCTCAAACGTTTCCAATTCCGAAATTCGGAAGAAATCCCAACGCAGTTTGTGATCGTGCTCTGGAGACGCCTACAATAAGCATTACGGTCACTGTGCATGAGGAATTTCATCCAGGATAAATTTCTGCTTCGAAATTAACAAGAGTTACGAGTCCAAACCTTCAAATAAACGCGCAACCAATAAGGAACCGGAACGTCTCCAATCACGCAGGCATTTGACGGCACAGGACGTTGATCTTCTACGGAATGTTGCTTTGGCTCTAAATTTTCATACGGTTGGAATCGTGCCCTCTGGACAACACTCCATGTCTGAGGAGCGTAGCAAGCGACAGGAGTTCCGCTGAATAAATAAAAAAAAACGTTCAAAATAGGAAGGTTCAGAAATTTCCGAGCGCATGGCAATCATCAATGAGCGTTTTCGTCACCAAAGTCGACGTTCGCACGCAAAATCCGATTACTCTAGTTTCCTCACCCAACAACGTACGGATATCCATGCGGCGCGTGATGCATCAGGTCCTTTGTCATGAAGACGATACACTAAGCTGTATGGCACTGCTACGGAAGTACTTAAAGCACCGATATCACATCAGATTGTCCTCGTGAAAATCTAAATAAAGTTGAACACAAACGCTCACAAATACATTCTGCGCGTTCAAAGATCGACAGGTCATCAAGTCCATGACGCAACGTTAACTTCCACTCAACGCTACCTCTTTCATGCCACCCCTAGGAGCGCCAGCCTCTCATTGAGTGACTTCAACTGTAATGCTTTAGCGGGGTAAAATGGTCCACCAATGTAAACAGAGACTCCAAGGGACAAATAACATAGTGCACATATAAAACACCTTTTTTAAATAAAAAATATATGGTACTTTCCTGCTATCTCTTTACCTCATTCCTAGACCACACTACCATCCAGACAAATCTTAGGACAAGTTCATAATCACAATGACCTACCAGAAACTGTGAATTTTATTTTTCTGCAATCTGCTGAAACTGATGTTGGGAGGCGGTTAGGTAAAGTTAGGTTAGGTCAGGTTATGTTAATCAAAAGATATTTGATATTTGGGAGGCAGTTAGGTAAAGTTAGGTTAGGTCAGGTTATGTTAATTAAAAGATATTTGTAACTAACATAACATAACCTGACCTAACCTAACTTTACCCAACCGCCTCCCAAAATCAGATAAAAATAATACAATATTTTCTGGTCATGTTTGGAATTCATTTGCACAAATCAGCAGTAGTGATGGAATACCTTTGAATGTGTTAAGTTTGGCAACCACTAAAAACTTCTCATAAAATAACAAGAACAAAACTTTAAGAATGCTGCAAGTTCATGTATTGATTAGTATGCTATCTTCCTACACCATTCTTCAACATGTAATTCCTATCTGCCAGCATACGCAGTTCATGAAGTCACTCATTCGTGGCGCTGAGGGAGGGAGTGGAAGGAACAGCCCTTTAGGGGGGCAGCGTGGAAGTGAGTTGCCTTGAGTTTGAAGGTGTACCATAGTGTCTGGTCACCTATCGGGAGGTCTGAAATTCATGAGAATTGTGCGCTGTAGCATGACTGGAAGCGTGGACGATTTTGTTCTGCTACATGATTAATTACCATGTGAACGCACTCAAAATTTTACGCAGAAGCAAGCAAGTCGAACGAGAGGAGTTGTATTCATTTTTCGGGACGGGATCTCCATAATGAAATTCGCGGAAATGTGATAAATGATCCAGGTTTTCCGCAATAATGGAGTTATTTAAAAGTGGTTTGAGATCAGTGCTTGGAGCTCCTACAGTCGAAAATCCCCCTTCAGGAGCAGAAACGGTAAGATGTGCTGGAATGATGAAACGTTCCCACGTTGACCCTATCATGCTCCGACGCAGAAATGTTGTATCTGCTGTGATCTATTCTAAGGTTGAGAAGCTGATCAATCGTGCGAGGTCATCTACTTTGCTGGATGATAGACGAGATGCCTGTCGTGCGCTCAAAGCGCTTTCACGAAAATTTCGTATGGAAGTAGGTGCTCAAGGACTTGACGTGCTCGTTGGCTTGTTGAATACGGACCGTTCGGACTCCGAAATCCTCGGTTACGTTCTTGATGCCCTGTGCAATGTTACCTCGAAAGAATCCCTGGAGGAAGAGCGTGAGCGGTGGATTTGCTGACCTTCTGATGCATTGTATCCTATCTCTAATCGTACAATCCAGGAGAAATCGCGGAAGTGCCCATTGGGCAACTGGAAGAATTAGGAGAGCGGTTCACTGAGATTTACTTGAAGAATCCTGATAATGTGAGAGTGATCCTCGACATATTGGATGAATATGATTTTCATGTTCGGTGGCCGGCTGTGAAGCTACTGACGAATTTAATTTTGAACAGGTAGTAATGTCATTTCTCAGGAATTATATTATTGGGGTAACAATTGTATCCCTTGAATGCGCAGGCCAAAGGATTTACAAGAATGTATCCTTGTGAATCCGATGGGGGTTTCAAAGTTCATGGATCTCCTGTGTGATTCCAGGGAAGTGATCCGAAATGATGTGAGTAATTGGATGGCTCTTGGATGTGAGGTTCATGTACTCAAGAATACTATTATTCTCAGGGTCTTCTTTTGCTTGGTCAACTCACAAAAGGGAACGCCAATATTCAGAAGATAGTCGCATTCGAGAATGCTTTTGAAAAATTATTCAATGTTGTTGCTGAAGAGGGATATTCAGATGGTGGAATAGTTGTTGAGGACTGCTTGCATTTGTTCCTAAACCTCCTACGAAACAATCCCTCCAATCAAACATTTTTCAAAGAAGGTGAGTTAATTGGCTCTCTGAAACGTAGACAATGTGGCATAAATTGACGTGTTGTACTGTCTATTTTTTTGAGTAGGAAGCTACATCCAAAAGATCTGCCCCTTCTTTGACATTGCGATTCCGGATGGGGACATGCCTTTAGGATGGCCTTCTCAGAAAGTCGTGAATGTGCAGCTGATGCTACAGGTTTTACAATCGCTCATCAGCCCTTCACGGAGTTCTGGAGGGAGTGGGGAAGTCCTCTTTTGCCAGCAACTCATGAGGAAGTGTGGGCTGCTTGAAAAAATGTGCAAGCTCTTGATGACATCTGGTGTCCCAGCAGATGTGCTCACAGAAATAATTCACACTGTCGGCGATATGATCAGAGCTTGTGAAGCAAGTCAGGAATACTTTGCTGAACTTCTTGTTCCTTCTAATCCACCGCAGTGAGTTACTCATCGTTCGCATGTTTATTTGGGAATAGTTGAGACATTTCCTTGTAATTACAGTATTGGATTTGTCTGAAGTTATCCAGATTTTTGGGAGTAGGTTCGGTTAATCTGAACCAGTGTTCCTCAACCTTTTTTGGCCCGCAAACCAGCAAATTTTTTGGAAACTTGTTGCATACTAGCAAATTTCTGTAACAGTTTTTGCAGACCAGCAGAAAATTTTCAGATATTTTACCTGCAATGAAGTCCTCCAACCAAAACTTTTATTGCAAAAATTAGGATGAGAACCAATAAAGCAGCTGTAGTGGAATGTCTTCAAAATACAGTACCTGTACTAGAAAGGAGGGCTTCAAGGAAAATTACTCAGAATGAATGCGTGAAATAATTCATTTCATCAGGGGAAAATTTGTCTTCAATGCTGTCAGAGAAAAGCCAACTTTTATTTTTCATCCGATATTTCCTACTGTCATTGTTTTTCCAAAATTGTATCTAAATGTAACAGATGTTCATTAATTCCTTTGCTGAATTTATCATGCTGAAGAAAATTTCCTGCTGATTGGCGAAAACTTTGTGTCCGTGGATCAGGGGTCCTAACTGAAGTGTTTGTTGGAGCGTCTCCTTAATTCTTCAATTGAGAAATCTTGCCTCAAATTCTATGTCGCCTGAATAATCTCAGAATGAGGGGCAAAATAGCTTTACGCTCGACTTGAATGGGGAAATGTTGCTATCAAAAAGTTTTTTTTTCATTATTTCGGACTGCTCCCACAAACTGAATAACCTGTCTACATCAGACCAATGTAATGCATCATTGGGCTAAGGCACGAAAAGGTTGTTGTAATGTGTTCGCCTTTTCCATGTATACTGCACTTTAGGATCTCTTTGTTAGACGAATGTAATTTTGAAGATCGAAAAATTACTCGAAATCTCATGGCCTTCAAGAAGGGAGAAAATCGCGTAGCGATGATGAGGGGCTTGTGGTGTTGATTTAAAAAGGCATGTATCTGCAAATGTCGCGATTGTAACCAGCCCTTTTCGAGGCTGAGTTTTGTTCGTGCCCTTCAAATTTTAGCATTTCCTGTCCTTTTCTTACTGTTGAAGGAAAGCCTTGGTCATCCTCATGATGTCGATGGTGAACAATAAGCAACCATTTGGCTTGCGATGTGCTGTGCTGTACGTGTTCCAGTGCTACCTGTATCGGAACGACTCGGGAAAGGCGCAGATCGTTCAAACTCTGCTTCCGTCGTCGACTGCTCAATGTAATTTCCTCGTTTCTATATCACCCCGAACGATTGAAGAAAAAAAAATTCCTGTCTTTACTCAAGTGACGAGCGTGAGTGTTGGACAATTATTGTGCAGCGGACTGCTGAGCACCCAGGACGACTTTTCCGTATGGTGTGCTGCTGTGGCATTGTCTCACACTCTGGTCAATAGTCCGCAGCAGAAGGAGAACCTCCTCAAAGTTCACCTAGCCATTTCTCGCGTCGGAAATCCCGTGCTTTTGCTTCAACAATCGTTTCTTATTCTTCAACAGGTATATCGTCTCAAATGCTCTGAAATTTTTGATTCACTGCACAGTAAAATCTTGCCAGAACGAATACTGTTAGGACAAATTTACACCTGTGCAAAAACCTTCTTAGAGTAGAAATTTTTTTTTTTTTCATCCCTGGCACAAAGCACATAGAGTGAGTGTTGAAAGAATCTTCTTTTATCAATATTCCCGATTCTGGTACATTATAATAAAATGTTAATAGGAATGTTCGATGGATCTTCCGGGTAGAGATTTCCTGACTAAAGAAGGCACAGTCGGAAATTTCTGATTCCAAACGTGACTGACTGTTTCTTGTAGCATGGATGGAAGCTGTAATCAATGACAAACATGCTTCCAAGTGGTTCTACGCATGATCCTCCCAGAATGGATAGATGGGTGTAACTGATGGAATGCATGATTGAATCTTGAGTCAATTTCAAAAGGTCATTCAGTGTTTTGAACAATTTTGGAAAAATCTGAGAATGCCAGAAAAGCAAGATGTAATTGGTTTTAGGCAGGTCTGATATGAAATGTTTTTCTTTTGAATTAATTTTGAAATTAAAATTTCTAGCTGATGAATTTTGAAAATCTCGTTCAAACAAATTAACTGTTTCTGAAATCCCCAAAAGTTTGTTGTACCAAGAATTTTATTGTAACCGTTATATTTACAGGCAACGAAGCCCCAGTCAAAGCTGGGAATACTGATGTTTTTGAGTCAGTGGCTCGCAAGTTGTTCATCTGCGGTGACTGCTTTTCTAGGATTACAGTCTGCCATCCCTTTCTTAATATCCCAGGTATTACTTTTTGATCAATTTAGTTAAAAAAGTGTGTTCATCAGTCTCCGATTTGATCCAGGTTGGATCAAATGAGAGCGAAGAGAACGAGGATCTGGTGCAATCAGCTTGTGCATTCCTGCTTGGGTTGTGCATAATATTCAATTCGAATAACGATCCGTCGAGTAATAAGGTGCGTCTAAATTTTTGCTCAGTCGAATCCCCGAGATTAACGAATTGTGTGTGACAGGAGTCATTGAAAATGCTGATAGCCAAGAGGATCGGCACTGAGAAGTTTTTGGATTGTGTGGGGACAATCGGGAGGCATGAAATTTACGCCAAAGCTTTGAAATCTCCGCAAGTTAGGTATAATTGTGTGAGTGAGCCTTTGCTCGACCATGAATTCGCCAGACTGCATAAGTCTTTTGAAGGTATGAATTCGAACTCTTTCTTTCGAAGCATGGAAATCTCTGAATTAAGTTTTACTTTCAGGAATGGTGGTGTCGGAAGTTTCCGGCGAAGCTTTAAAGATTGACCAATCTGAACGTGATTTGAATGGGATGGTTCAGCAGTTGCAAGCTTCCATGGCAAGTCTTCAGTTGGAAAATGACAGAATGAAGGTTTGTAAATTTACTCAGAAGACTACTTTAATTTTTACTTTTGTTCGCACTTGATGGTTCCTCATCTTGTGATTTTATTTTAAACTCAAGACTAATAAATGAATAGTGATTATGGCATTAACGAGTTAGTCTCTTTTTGACGTTATTTTCTTGCGTTAATTTCACTTGAAATTTAAGAGTTTTTTTCGATTGAATCTTCAAGCACTGAAATTTTTTTTTTTTGGAAGAGGGACCTGGAGGAAGCCCGGAAGAATGCGTTACCCATGTTGAATGGAACTTTGTTCCCGACGCCCGTGCGTGCTTCTGTGATTGAAAGTGATGATTCCGGCAATCTGAAAAGTGAGATTGATGCCCTGAAGGTGGATGTAGCGTTGAAAGCAGACATGATACATCAGCTTCAAAGAACATTAGGGGAACGAGACGCTACTATTGAAGTTCTTCAAGCACAGAAAGCTCAGGTAATGTGTACGGGGATTTTTTTCGCGGTAAACTTGGAAGGGTTGTTTACGATTTGAATGCTGGTAGTTCGAGATATTTCTCCGAATTTTATACCTTATTTCCTAAGCTTATAATGGCTACAATGAAATTTTGTGATTTGTGAGGAACCCGTAATCATATGATAAATGCAATGCCTCAACGAAGACGAACCGATCTTGTGAGACTCATTTTGATCTTTCATTTTATGCTGCTTTCCTCCTCGCTAAATTTTTATATTTCTACTTCAACATCTGGAGCTCCGCGTGTTTTTTCATCATGGAACTTCTCTTTTGATTTTTCCTGCTTCCAGCGAGGTTAATCCCATCCAAGTTTAACTCTCTTCATGCTCTTCACCCAAGATTTTAAATGCTCCGAAAACGCTGACTAATTCTTTGAACAGTAGCTTTTTTGGTGCCTCTGTTCGGATATTATCCAAAATTTCAGAATGCTAAGGTTTTCGATTTCCTGTCAAAGAGTTGAGGAAAGTGATCATGCGTTATTTGCATTATTGTAAAATACGACGAGCAGGGAATGTTCTGACTTTCTAGTGTTGGACTTGATTGAATTCCATATGTTAGCGTGATTCTCTGACCAGGCTTTTGTGTTTTACAGGAAACTGAAAGTGATAACCCACACAATGTATTGAAAATCTTGGATGCGGAGCGTTCTCGATTACTGAAGGCGACCTCGGAATTAGCTGCGTTGCGGATGGACCAAGAAAACATGATGGATCTTCTCACGGATTACGAAACGAAAATATCGGCCTATGCGCGACGTCTCAAAGATTTAGGACAAAGTGTAAGTGTGGGTGGTTTTGGGCTTAAAAGTCGAGGGATACCACAGTATCCGAATGAGTAGAGGGTAGAAGAGCAGGAATGTTGACAAAGCTTGTGAGCGTCTTCACTCAAACCTCCCTAAGTCAAAATATTTTCAAGTCCCAGTCTGAATTCCGTTAAAAACAATTTATTGAAAACCTCTCTAACTGCAAGTATTTTTCTTTCAAACCTTCGTGACTCGGATTTTGTGAAGGCCTTCCGGCTATTTCATTTATTTTTTTATTTTTTGCACAGCAAAGAGAAAATCAATGAAAATTTAAATTTTTTTTTTAAAGGAATCCTAAGACAACTATTCCGGTGAATGAACCCTTGCTTCCAAGTCTAGCATCCTGTCAACTCATTTGAGAAGCAATTTAAGGCCCAGAATATCACCATTTACAATATCCTGCAATTCTTCGATGTTTCTCACAACAAAATGCTTGTTTCCCCAAACTCAAAACCTCCTGAAGTCGGATCATCCCTAAGTTGGATTTTTTGCTGGTCGCTTGAAATTCGAGTTAAACAGGTTTGACAGTACTGTATCAGGAGAAAAATTAAGGTCAACGTTATCTGTTGGTGTTTTCTGAGAGACTGACTTCATTCTCAAGTCCCATCGTATAAAATGTCACCATAGCAAAGGTCACACCGTAAAAGAAATCAGTTCAGGATAAAACGTAAATAACCAGTTCTCTGCGTGTGAGCACTTCGGCATATATCAGATTCAAAACACAATAGTTTCGTGAAAAATACCGATGAAATATTGTTATCTCCAAAGCTTGCTAAAAGAAAGGCTATCCAATTCTCGGAAAATCTTTAACCTGGATGTCTGGATCAAAAAGAATTGTGAATAAGAATATGTGTGACGGAAAACGTGTACGTTACCTCTCGATTTTTCGGAGCTTCCGTTAGCAGAACGATTTTAGAGCCTGATCAAGAGGGGTGTCGTGGGAGACCCCCTACTTTCGCCAATTACTTTCGAGGAAAATTAAAAATTTCGTATCTCTGCCTAATATTTGTTCATTTCCTGAACTGCTCCGCTCACAAGAAACAAACGGAGTGGAAATGGTAGGCCTGCAGGAGCCAACAGTTCTTGAATTTCAAATACTCTACATCCAATCGGAGCTAGTTAACTTTCAGTGAGCAACTAAGGAAAATGTCGTTTATTTAATTGTAGCTCAAAGGCAGACAAAATCGTTTTTAATTACGAGTAAAATGTAAGTGATCGATGTTGATAAATTTTTGTATATTTTTCGTGGTCGAAAAACGCAAGTAGGCAAGCTTTTATTCAATGTTGACAGGTGGATGAAGAAGACTTGGACGTGAATGAGATCGAACAGAACTTGGCGGAGGAAGCAAATGGTGGCTATTGCTAGACATCCTCTGAAGCACTCGTACGGATTTCCGGAAGGCGCGTTTGTTGTTACCTGGGCAAGCTGGATGAAGTTTGGGTACATTTTGAATTGGACGATTCATCTGACACAAGGCACGTGGTTGGACGTTTGTTGTGCGACCGGTTTGTTTTCGTGGTCCTTACGTCAGGTTACATTCCAGGAGTGTACGTGTGAGCGTGCACTTGACCTGGTGCAAGCGTTTGGGAAATCGTTATTTTATTGGGATTGATGGATTTTATTTCTCTGAAGGGTCGTTGCACTCGCATGCTGTGTGGAATACATCTGTTTGCGATGGATGTTGCGTGTTCGTCTTTCTTTTTTTTCCTCTTTTGAATTTTCCGTGCAAGGGTTCAGTTTTTTTACGAATTTTAGCGGGGTGTCAGTGACTACTGTGATCCGCATGAGGCGCTGGCAGGTGACGCTGGCGATTTTCAAGCCAGATTGTATCAGTGTTCCATTTGTAAGAAAGGTAAGCGTGGTGAGATCTGAATCCTTGAGGCGTGCCTTACTGTCTAGTTCTTTTCAGGGAGTCAGAGAGTTGATCGTGAGAGAGGAGTTTCTAATTCTTCGGTGGAAGCGGTTACTCCTGAATCAAAAGGAAGCATCTGCGTTTTACGGCGAGCATGTCGATAAATTTTTCTTTTCACGACTAGTTACCTTCATGTGCAGGTATGTCTATCCCACATTCATTTTCACATATCTGCCAGACGCACGATTATTCGAGGAATTAGTCAAATTTTGGTTTTAATCGATCTTCATCATTGCCTCGATTTTCTTGTCATTTGTAAGTTCCTTCTACATCTCGTTCTTTTTCTCTGACAGTGGTCCAATTGAAATCTACCTGCTTGCTCGCGAAAACGCAATTTCGAAATGGAGAACGCTACTTGGTGGCTCGAAAGTATTCAAAGTTGTTCATACGGAACCTGACTCGGTTAGAGGATCGTATGGACTGACGGATACCAGAAATGTCGTTCATGGATCAGGTCAGGCGATAGTATTAGTGACAAGTACTTTATTTCATGTCGAAATTTAAAAGCAGTCATCTTCCCGTGAGCAGATAGCGAAGTAACCGCTAGGAAGGAAATCGAGTTTTTCTTTCCGGAATTCGATTGGGATCAATGGGAAACGCTCGTCAGATCGGAAAGTGTCGACAAGCTTCGATTCTCCAAAGATCGATTTTTACACGAGCGTATCCAGTGATTTTTACTTGTTTTTTCCAAGTCATGGCATTAGTCGGTCGTCTTTATTTATATGGAGTCGTTGATCCGCGAGATGGAATTTTGAGTTGATGTATTATGATTTTGATGTGGAACCTTCGTGATATTTGCAGGTTATTATAGAGTGCGAATTGTGTTGCGGAGAAATGAATTTCGGCAGGTTGTTTGTTCGCAACTTGCTCGCAGCTGGAAAACAGCCCGCGTGGAGCAAAATTAGTTCGCAGTGGATGTTTGCGCGATCGATTTTCGTGAGAACCCAAGAGACTCCGAATCCGAACAGTTTGAAATTCATACCCGGTGTGAAAGTGAGTTGGTTCTGCCCGTCATCGACTTCGTATCGTCTATCTGTTATGAATTACTGTAGTAATGAAGATTAATCAGAAATTGAATCAGATAAATGCATCTGATGGAAGTCGCAAGTGAGATCAGAGTAGCTGAACAAAAATGAAGCACTTTTTGCTAGTATGATGCCAGTGATGAGATTCGGTATCCTAGAACAAACACATTCTCTTGTAATGAAAGTTCCTCTAGATTTAATAATGATTAATAATATATCCAATCTGCTATACCGTCATAATTTTCACCAAAAGCCAGTGAGTGAGCTTTTTGAATTTATGAAGTAATTACTTGTCTACTGCTGTATGTTTTTCATTTGAATTTGGATGACGCTGTGGTATTCAGTCGAGTACTGCAGTGCATCAGTATCAAGATGTTCCTTAAGTTCACGCTTCGATATTTTCTTCTTGACTTTGTTTCAGAGACTGACTAACCTGTATTTCATGTTTTCAGGTGTTAGACAGTGGAACGAGAGATTTCAAATCATGGAAGGAGGCGAATGTTTCCCCGTTAGCCAAGTCTCTGTTCAGAGTACAAGGCGTCAAGTCGGTTTTCTTCGGCGGGGATTTCATCACAGTTACCAAGGTACTGTAATATTAAATAGTTGGCGATTTGCTTGTGGACAACCTCAGGGGGATGTCCAAATTACCAACTACAGTATAATCTTGGTGGTTGGGTTGATTGAATCATCAAATTTGCTGAATTTAGAAACGAAAATACGAACATTCCTGCGGGGTTTTCCTCCCTTCAATGCATGTCGTCCATCTTGACAACGTTCTTCTCATTGTATTCATGTATAGCGTCACCTTTTCTGTTATGTTTCATTTGGTTGGGTTTTGCCATGTTTGTGATCCTGCTTCGGATTTAATATTGTGACTGTGGAAGAACTTTCATAACAACAACCTGATGGAAACCTCATTTTTTTTCGTGGACTGTTTCATTTTGCTACTGTAATCACAAATAATGTGAGTTTCCGTAAAGTACAATTCCCGTAAACTCGTGAAATTTGGGTCGAGGAAACTTCTCCGAGTAAATCTGTTGTGCTAAACTGTATCATGTGTCCAGTAATTTTTTTCGGAAAAATCGGAGTATCACGATTTGCAGAAATTACAATGAGGCATGAAACCGAGGTAAAAACACAGCGGTTAAGGAACTAACACGACGAGTCCATTAGCCATTGCATTCATGATCGTGGAAGGATTACCCCTGTGAAATCGGTGGAATTTATTTATACGTGCGACAGGATATTAAAATTACTCAACTTGTGTTATTCCGAATTGATAGCTGGAATGCCAAATTAGTGAAAGAATACCGAAAGCCATCAATCGCAAAATTTTGAAGATGCCTCATGCTGTGATAAGATTTTCATAAGCTTTTGATTAAAAGCGGCTTATATTGTTGAAAGAAGCTTTGTCCTCGTGTTTTTGCAGAGTGATGATGACACTGATTGGAGCGTTTTGAAACCCGAAATCTTTGCCACGATCATGGATTTCTTAAGCAGTGGAAGTCCGATTATGTTGGATGATGCCGACCTCCCGGTTGATGGTGAGTTTACGGTCCTCTGAATTCCCAAGTGATTCATGGAATTACTGTATTTCGAATTTAAAAAAAAAAACATTTATATTGCTGAAAGTGATGGCGCTCTTTCATTTGTAATCGTCTCGTTGATTAACATTCTCTCCGAGGGAAAATGTGCTGTATCTGAAAGAGTATTTATTTCTAGAGGGTTCCCCGAAAGACGATGACGATGAAGTTGTTTCGATGATCAAGGAACTGTTGGATACCAGAATTCGCCCTACAGTTCAAGAGGACGGCGGTGACATCGTTTATCGAGTGGGTGCAAAGGAAGTTATGTTTTTTCACTTGGTGATCCCCGACGAACGAGAGGAGGTCGAGGGGATTGGTCTGAAAATGACCCACGACGAAATAGTCTCCACTGCGGGAAAAGGGCTGTGGGAACAACATGTGAAGGAGGGCTTTAGTCAGCAAACATTTTAGATACCTATGGACCAGACCATTCTCACATTTTTTAGAAATACTGGATTGCATTACCTAGATATATTGCTTAGGAATGCAGTAAAATCTCATTACCACAAATACCATTGCATCTTCCAGTACAGTATAATGAACTTTTTCTCAAGTCAACCGTAACATTCAAGTCAATTTTCAAGGGGGGTGTTATTGAGATTTTTACCGCATTTAGTTTTTAAAATACCGTATTCATTTTGGGAACTGAAAACTAAGGTGCACGTATTATGAATCGATACAATTCATTAAAAAAAATATATATAAAAACGTGCGCGGTACTTCAGTAAATACGGGTATTTTTGAATTGCCTCTCACATTGACGTGAATAATATTTGTGCAGATTAACACTCGTTGGTCCACAGTGGTGCTGTTGTAAATCTGAGCTTTTTATGCACACATCAAATGACACTGGCCATTACTCCCTCGCCCATTTCAAGGTCCCATTGACCCGTCATCCCTCTGGGGACTTTTTGTTGGGGACCTAATTTTCGTGCGAAGCCGGATATTACCATGGTCAAACGAGTAAAAAAAATTTTGTGTGCGCTTGTTGAAGGGATTCGAGAACGGTATCGTGAAGCTGAAATTACAAGGAGCATGTTCCAGTTGTCCATCGTCCGTGATAACTCTGAAGAAAGGTGTGATGAACATGTTACAATTCTACATACCAGAAGTCGAGGGAGTAGAAGAAGTGGAAGATGAAGTAGACAAGTTATCCAAGTCTGAGTTCGAGAAGTTCGAGGAGAAGCTTCACAAGGATGAAGAGAAATACGGCAAACAATGACACGGTGACAGGAGAATGCTATGGTTGAAACTTGATGCGCAGGTTCTGTAAATTTTTGTTTGACTGCTTTGTTAGTGACTGGAACATGAAATTGATCGTTTTCAGCTTGCGTGAACTTTATTACCGTTCCCTGTTATTTTTTTCCCCACTCTGGTTGCTGAACTTGCGGTAATGGAACTGGATTTGATTTGCGCTCTCACTTTTGTCAGAAATACTGCATGTGTCCCATAGGAAAGTCTTTTTTAATGTCTTGGTTGCTAAACTGTTATTCAGGTTCATGAAAAACAAAGACGAAGTGCTGTCAATACTTTGAGAACATAAATACAGTCAACTATGGATTTAATGCCACCCCTGCAGTGCCAAAAATTTCCCCTGAACAAATCTCCCACCATTATTTTTTAAGGGAAACCCTTATTCATTGCCAACTCATTTAGTGCCACACGAAATTTCCTGTCAAAAAGAATAATAGGCAGGATTTGGAGAAAGTGAGGCATTTTTCTAGGGACATGTATTGCTTATTACTGAGAATCACATCCTCATGCTCCACATAAATCTTAAAAATTGTATTTCATCTGAATTTACATGGAATTGGGTGGTTTTATTTGAACCATAGTCAAGAGCATCTCAGACTGGGATAGGCCCTCAAAAAAATCAGAAATCACTCCACCTGATCTCGACATTGTTTTCTTTAACTGAAAATTTCATGCAAAACAGCAAAATTCAGTTCCAATTTTATCTTTTCCTAATTTGTGCATGAATCTAATATATTCCTTACTATAACATAAATTCAAATGATTTAAAAACTGTTCATTTGTGCCTCAAATTATTTTGTCTTGATTTCTTTTTATAAAACAGACTCAATGGCCATACCATTGAAAGCCTCTTTTCCATTTTGCAAGAAAGCCTCTTTTCCATGTAGTCAAAGGTCGGGAATAAATCTTATGATGCAATACCCCTGATTCAGTGCCACAAAATGTGCCAGGACAAACAATTGGACTAGTAGTGGGCTTTGACTTTACTCAAATCCTTGTGTTGCACTTCAGCAAGTGATTTCTTGAAAGCAAATATCTCATCAGGAATCAATGCGCGTGGCGGAGTGACATTTATAAGGAGAATTAAAAGCATGAGAAGTAGTTTCTATAAAACGGAACGACTTTTGGAGTCGAACATGATCGCTGCCTGGCCGAATTTATAAAGGTTCAGTACTGTACTTTGTATTCCATTGTGAAGTGAATATTTGGGTGTTCTGCATTGTTCCTGAAAAATATTTTCTTGCTTTTTTCTTATATTGAGCTGGGGCTTTAGCGGCGTTCATTTTGTTTTCGTACACGTTGTTTGGTGTGAAATTACTGAAATAGTTTAGTGTCACCGCGGTGGATGGATTGAGCGTCTGCTGACGAGGATTTAAAAACGTTGCCTTGATGTGGAATCTCCGCATCAGCTGCATTCGTATGACGAGAAATCGGTTTGAGTGAGGACTTCCCAACTATACTATCATTCCTAATGACGGAAGACATAATTCGTCCGTGTGTAACTTCTTGTTCATCTCATTACATTCTCATCAACTTTCAAATTGAAGAGAAAGTTCTTCGTCACACAAATTTATGGAGCATGAACCAAAGAAAACTTTCCAGCCCTATGCTCTGCCGAGATTGAACGATTAGTAAGGGGAAGTCATTCTGCAGAACTCTCATGATGGAACAGACTTCACGAGTGAATAATCGTCATGTTATCATTCCTGAAGTCACTCAGTAATGGCTGTTTGGCCGGTAGTTCAAGCAGTGTCAAACTGTTACGCCCTACCCTTCTTTCCATTGTGAATGAAATACTTTTTGTGTAATACACATCATTTTGTAAGTCTGTCATCAAAATATAATCTATCAATCTGAATTGATGTTTCCATTGTTTTGCGAATTTTTCTATTGTACGTTCGTTTTTACATTATCATAGGAGTTGAGCACAAGTAAGTGAAGTTTACTGGTTTGAGGGTTCCCCTGATGATTTTGAATTGAGAGACATTGCACGCAAAATGCAGAAAATTTGTCATATACCGTTTCTTTCATGTCATGAATGTTGAAAAACGAAGTTCGATTCTGTAAGAAAAGGTAATCAGAAAAGTTGAATACAGTACTGTACACATGAGTGAATTACTGTATCAAATTATGGATGTAGGTTTTCCCTTAGTTCATCTTTCTTTGCCAACATTTAAAAAAATCGAAGATGAACATCCAATGCATGACTTCGTTGCTTGTTTAGTGCACTTGTGTTCATAAATTAATATTTATTCCAGTGGCGGTTTATTATCAGACAAGATTCCCACTTACCGACAAGCTGCCTTACACAAATAGATGAGATTTTCATAGATGGTTACGCCTTAAAGGTTATGTCTCCATGCAAGGGAGGAAGGAATTTCCATTGCTACATGCAAAACCAACCAGCCATACCCCACAACAGTCCTGAGCTTATTTTCCAATGCACTGAATACTAGGAAAAAAAATTATTAAAATGTGAACTAATGTTATTCTGCTTTGAAAGGTGAGTCACGTGGTCCTCGATTGCTCAGAAGTAATTGTCAAAGCAAACCTGTTGGCAAACTTTTAGCAAGATTTGGCTGTGGAAACAACCACTTCCCTGGATTGCACACCAGAGGACCAAAACAGTATTCAATGACTACGCCTGGATGGAAAAAAATATTTCGAAATTTACCGCACAGGAAGCTGCTGTTCCCAGAAAGCAATAAGTGATGACAGCAATCTTAAAAATACCTCAAGTAATTATAATCGCCATTCAAGCACTCATTCATACAGCAACTTCAACCACTAAAAAAGGAGTCACTCGAATCGCCTTGTGTTCGATGGAATAAAAAAAATTGTCCCAGAACAGCACCGGTAGGGATTCATGAAACATAGGGCAAAACAATCACTGCTCGAAAGAACCGAGAACAGTGAATCCTCGCTTTGAGAAGATGCTTGCTCATTTAATCTTGAACAAACAAGAAACTAAGCGATAACTTAGCCATAAAAAAACCTACCCCACAGGGATTTTGAGATCATGGGCAAGAACATGATGTAAAAAAAATATCAGTCCAACATTCACTTCTTCGCCGCCTTCTTGGGGGTTGCCTTCTTTTTGGCCGCTGCCTTGGGCTTCTTGATGGCTGCGGGTTTCTTTGCTGCTTTTGGCTTCTTGACTGCAGCTGCCTTGGGTTTTGCTGGAGACTTTGCCTTCTTGGCAGCGGCTGCTGGTTTGGCCGCCTTGGGCTTCTTGGGTGTTGCCTTCGCCGCCTTCTTGGTTGCTGGCTTCTTGGGCGTCTTCACCTTTTTCGGCTTCTCAGCTTTCGGGGCCTTCTTTGGCTTGACCACCGTGGGTTTCTCAGCGGCCTTCTTGTCTGCCAACTTGAAAGAACCTGCTGCGCCAGTTCCCTTGGCCTGCTTCAGGGCTCCTGTCAAGACACCCTTCTTCAGTGCGACCTTCACTCGTGTGTTGACTTTCTGCAATACAGATAAGCAAAGAAAGTTGTTATACATAAAGAGCGGACAGGTTGATCAACATTAAGAATGATAGATTCCTTCTTGTGAAAGAGTCTCTGAAATGTAGAATACCCTTGAATTAAGCAATGAATTCATAATTGAAATTAAGAAAATTGTGTATTTGTTGTCAAATACCATGGATTCTTCGTCTTTCTTAATTTAGAAGTTTTTTCTACATGTTCCAATTTTACAGATGAAATACATATGAAGTCTCATCGTGCCAACCATCCAGGGATAAAAGAAAGGTGTATCTCTGTTACAATGTAGAAAATATGTTTCTTCTGTTTACCGCGATGTTAACTTACCAATGCCGCCTTACATTGGGCCACCCCCGCCCTTTCTTGAACCACCAAAATCTTGCAGCACAGACATCGGCCGTTTAATGGGGCTTGACTGCACTAGATTGATCTGAGAGGTGAGAAGCGCACCACTTGGAACATTCTTCGGGTAGTTGAGATGTTTAGTGATTATAGTGAACAAGCTTCAAGTTCAATATCAAGTAATTCAACAACTAGTAGCCTGACAAGAATCGAAATCCCTACGACCACTTGGCAACGATTCTATCATGTAGAAAAGAGAAATGCACAAACCTTCTGATCAGCGTCGACTCGGTAGTTTGCGATGATGTACTTCAGGATCGCAGCACGGCTTGATCCGTTTCTCTCCTTCAGAGAACCGATGGCCGCAGCAACCATGTCTTTGAATGCAGGATGAGCAGAAGGAGCCTTGGCAACCTTCGGTTTAGTAGACTTTGGTGCCTTGGCCCTGGGGGCTTTCGCAGCGACAACTGGAGCTTCGGTCTGTTCTGCCATTTCGATTTGCACAATTTTCAGGCTTTTCAATCAAGTTTTATCAGGTGCTCACGAGACGAATTCAGAAAAACGACTGACGTTACCGGGTGAAATGCACGGGGAGTACATATATAGCCTGCGAGCGGACGGCATCGCAAGCAGGGTACGGAGCTGCGGCCTGAGAACGCCCCGTCAGCCGACGCTTTCAAATCTCACTCAAATTCTTTCAGAAAAGCTTTGATTACTTGAGTTTTACTTTGTTATACGGAAAAAAATGTGGCTATATCAATTCAGAAATCTTTTAGCTATTCAACGGTAATATTTCACACAGGATGTCTTCCATAGAAAAGAGAATTTCAACGATTAACGAGAGGGCGTCGAATCTGTTTCCCAAAAAAGTTTGTTGAAAATGGCATGACGTCGAATTCAGAATTATTTTTTTTATTTCAGCAATATGTCAATCGACAGGAAATTATTTTTCCTAAGCATTGGTACAATTTTTTAATCGCTTGGCCGAAAACTATATGTGCTGCACCGCGATAATTCCAGTGAAGAAACACAAACTGCCTCTCATGCCCCCAGCTTGTAAATCCATGCATTAATTTTCATTAGACAAAAAGCCCTCTTCTTTACATTTGACAAAAAATTTTATTGAACATAATTTGTTTTTTGATACATTTTGAGGGTGGTGACAAATTTTTGGACGAATTTGTCCATTTTTTGATGCGTTAAACAATTATACAAGGTTATATATATGCTCCCGCCTGCATTCCAGTTCACACTTATTCGCTCAACCTTGTTCTACAGTGAAATTTCGTTACAGCAAATATCGTTATAACGACTTCTCCAACGTGATTCATTTTTTATTGGTATCCGCAGTTTCTTTGTAGGGACACTGTTTTAAAAATTTTGCTGTAACGAAGTAATCCTCCTCATAATCTCACTGCTGTATAACGAGATTTCGCCATGATTATGTGTGCAAGAGCCATTGAAAATTTTACTAATTGGCACAATGTAGGAAATACCAACTTCTGCATATCAAAAAACCTTCAAAAGTATAATGTTCAAAAGGTATTGTGTACAGAATAATTATGCAGCTACTCTTTTTGTACAGAAAATTTAACATTGTATGGCAAATATGAAGCTTTCATCAAAATTTACTAAGCTTTTCAGAGGAGTATGTTTGGAAGGATAATGCTCTATTTCAGGCAGCATCCAGTTCTTAATGAATAAATGCTCTCATTACAAATTTATTTTCTCTTTGCTTCAGCTCATACTTTACCTGGGTCAGTAGATACACAGTAATTTTAGAACATTCAAGGAAGGGAAGGTCTATAATAAGATAACTGTTGTTCATGTTTTTAAATTTAGTTACTATTTCATCAGAAGAAGCTTGAAATGCTATATAATGAATTATTCTTCACAAATCTGTTGTAAAATAATTCGAATAAATTATTACCAATTTCCCTCAAAATTTCAGCTTCACATGCTCAAAGAACAATGAATATTGTAAAGATTTATATTATGATAGACTTTTTCTAGCATCCCTGGAAGTTCATTACAATGAGATTTTCGTATATTTGAGCTTTTGAGGATATTTGTTTAATTAAGACTAAATTATACTCTCTTGCAACCTTTCAGAGGGTTGGGCGTTTTTTAAAAACCGTATTTGGTGATGGATGGAGGTATATCCTGAAATCAAGGAACACATCACCTTGGATGCCTGGATCTTTCAACCATAACGGATCCAAAGGAGTTTGCTCTGTGAAGGAGGGGGACATGCCAGACTTTAGGGCTCTGTTGCATTATGAAAATGAAAATGCTGCAAAATACAACATTAAATATTTTAGTTTCTCAATGATACATAGATATAGCCTGGATAAAAGTGCTTATCAAACATTTTATTAAAAAAGATGAAAGCATTTAGGCAAAAATGTAAGAATCACTTCAGTACTCTACACAAATAGTTTTTTTGTGTTTCCATTCTCAACATTTTGACTTCTTTTCAAGCTGAAAAGGGCTCCAAAATTAGATTTAAACCTACAAAGTTTTCTCACTTCTGCAATACATTGAGATCAACAAGTTGAAAAATAAAATATTGCATTCATAATATAATTCATCAAAATACTGCGCAGTCTTGGTTAACATACACACTAGCTTACAAAAATTTCATGTAAGGAACTTTGCATTGTGGCCTCAGTTGCCCAGAATGAAAAATCATGACCTAGTTTATAAACTTTTATCAGTGTGTTAAAATGTGTTCCTCCATGTACAGCTTGGCTTATGAACTAACATAACCAAACAGAAAAAAGCTCCTTATTAAACAAAATACAGTAGCAAATAACCCAACCTCATACAAACCTATGTCAAGGAACCTATAAACTCAAGGTGAGACTGGTTTTACTGTTGATCAGCATGCCATATATCCAACAATTTTTGATATTTTGATATTTGTAAAAGAGATGCACAGAACTCATCCATATGCCATGTGGACCAATCAAAGGGAAACAGCACTGCTTGGCCAAATTTTTATACTGTTTGGATTCCTGACTTACCAACTGTGAGAGGGAACTATTCAAAGATAGAGCCCAACTACTTTGGGCATATGTGCATGCATAAAACAGATGCCAAAACCATGTGCCCAAAGCATATGCCCTCACACTAACTTCTGTACATGCATACAAGGCAGAGCACCTGTATGCCCCATGGCACACAAACAGGAGCTAATTCTGTATGTGTGCAGGTACACTGATCCTGTAGACCTGTACACATACAGGAATGTGCTCAATTTAAACAAATATTATATTTGACAACCCTCAATCTCATTTATACTGATTCATTTATCTAGGAGGCAAGAGATACTCACAAGCAAACACACAGATGCACACATTCACATAGCAGTGCACAATGCATTGATAAAATTTCTCATCACTCACAGAATTTAAACCCTTTCCCTCATAACACAAGCCCAGCATCTTAACAGCAGAGCAATGAACTCATATAATTATTCCTGCTCTTCCTACACCAATCCCATGAAACCCATCAGATCATTTTCTGTGTGTGATAAGGTTGATGGTTGTGTCACACATGTGATGCTGCCGTCACATATGTGATGCTGCCGTCACATATGTGATGCTGCTGTCACATGTGACAACATTGTGACAACACTGCTGTTGCGTTTGAAAACAGTGCAACAATAGTGCTACGTCAGTGTGACAGTGTTGTATGCACCATTGTGACACCTACAATGGTGCTACTTTGTTGTTGTCATTACACCTTTGATGGTGCTATGACCATGTGGTAGAGTTGAAGCACTGTCATGACACCTAAAATGATGTGATGGCAGTGTCACAGCATTGTAGTACCATTGTGATTCCTACAATGGTGCTATAATGATGTGACACTACCATCACATGTGACAACTATGTGTCACAATGGTGCCACAATGCTGTGACAACATCATTGCTTGCAATTTCAGTGTCAAAATGGCAGGCTATACAGTAAACTCACTACCTGTATGCTGTAAGCATATAGGGTATGCAGTAAGCATAGTATGCTGTAAGCATAGTATGCTGTAAGCATAGTATGCTGTAAGCATAGTATGCTGTAAGCATAGTATGCTGTAAGCATAGTATGCTGTAAGCATAGTATGCTGTAAGCATAGTATGCTGTAAGCATACAGGAGAGCATACAGCAATAGCATATTCATACTATTAGAAAAATATCCACTCATGGGCATACAGGAAAACTTGTCTGCACAACCATCCATGCAATGTGTCATATCACATATGCTTACCACCTGGTATGCATACAATCTGAAAAATGCAGAAATAATGAAAGAGTGTAAAACAAGTCATTGCATGAAGAACAATTTAAAAACATTGAAAAGGCCTCCTTACTTTTGTTGTGGTGCCATCAGATCATTGATATTTCTTTGAACTTCATCTTTTTCAGCTGCCATTTCCCTCAGCTCATCCACTCCCAAGTCTTGAGTGTCTTCCATGACAAGTTCACTCAAGACTTGGGAGTGGAAGAGCTGAGGGAAATGGCAGCTGAAAAAGATGAGGTTCAAAGAAATATCAATGATCTGATGGCACCACAACAAAAGTAAGGAGGCCTTTTCAATGTTTTTAAATTGTTCTTCATGCAATGACTTGTTTTACACTCTTTCATTATTTCTGCATTTTTCAGATTGTATGCATACCAGGTGGTAAGCATATGTGATANTTTTACCTTAAGAAAATTTTTTGTGGAACCAAATAAACGTTTTTCCCTTATTTCTTAAGGGAAATACACCCCCGGTTAATGTTTTTTCCAGTTAACGTTTTTTTTGCTTGGAACCAACTAAAAACGTTAACCGGGGGTTGACTGTATTGGAAATAGAATGAGTCACAACTAAAACTGAGGTATTTTATCCTAATTTTCCCTGGGATTAAAATTTTTTTCATTTATAATTCTAACTCTCTCAAGTGTTGAGCTTTTACAAAGTTAACAAAAAGAAAATGCAGGAAACATCACGGTGCATCAAACAAAGGCTAGAATTAAATTGTGGTGCAATAATGAATCTTTTATACATTTTGTAAATGGAAAATGGAAATATCATATTTTCTTTTCAACTCATCTTAGTATTTTTATTTATTTGAAATTTTGAAATTTCTTGCCGGGTTTTGTGATGTGCAATGGTGTTTTACAAATTTCGATATTTTAATGGAAGAAAATGTTGATAATGGGATCTGTGGAAAATTGCAGTAAAGCCCCAACTTAGACATACCATCATACATCCCAGGACATTTTTTGCCACTAAGCAAGGGTGGCATTAAATTGAGGGCAATGCAAAAAATGGGGGTTCATTTCAGGATGCTGGCTACCAGAGATCAACTCATGTTTTTTGCATTACTTTTAGGTGTCCAATTTTACATTTTTATTGCTTCACTCTTTCCTGTTTCAAAAAAATTGCCATGAAAGGTTTGGAAATGTGTAAGTATTCAAGATGGGACTTGCCTGTACTTTGTGACTCATGCAGAAGTGACATCCACAAGAATCCATGCTCAATAATTACTGTACTCTTTTCCTAGATGTCACTTATGCATGAAGTACAATT